TAATACAGGAAAAATAATTAAAAGCAACTTTACAAATAACCCTTGAAAACAGATGGCAGATACCAATCATATAAAAACCACAGTGGGTGGAAGAAAGGGGGAAAAGAAAAAAAAAGGTGATCAGCTAGGGTCACAGTATGGTCAGTAGGCCTTCCTGAAAAGCCATGTCTGTAGTTGTCTCCTAAGTATCAAAAGGGAGGTGTTAGGCAGTGCTTCTCTGGAAACTGGTTCTGTAAGACTGGAGCTACCACAAAGAAGGCCCTAGTTCTTATGGACCTCCCTTGGGTGGCCACTCAGAGGAGCCTTGACTGAGATGATCTTGTGCGTCAGGCAGATGACATTAAGGAAAGAAACTCCAACAAGTAACATGAGCCCAAACCGTGGAGGGCTTTGTTTGTATGTATGTATGTATGTATGTATGTATGTATGTATGTATGTATGTATGTATGTATGTATGTATGTATGTATGTATGTATGTATGTATGTATGTATGGGTGTATGTATGGGTGTATGTACGTACGTACGTACGTACTTAGGGGTGCTTCTTTGTTTCAAGTGACAGTTAATTCAATCCCTTCTTATTTTCTCCACACAAAATGTCCCAACCATTCCCAGCTATAAATCTACAATGACTAAGTCTATAAAGGGTATGATCAAAGATATGGCCCATAACAATTTCCAAAAAAAAAGCATCAGCACAATCATAGAAAATACTGCTGGTTAGCAATATTATTGTTCAGTGACTGCTGAAATGTATTCATGTGCATACATGTCCAAGCTGGGTTGGGACTCAGTGTATTGAGAAAAAACACAGGTGGCAAATATACAGTACAGTGTTAAGGATTTTCTGACATATCTGATCATTAAAAAAACAACAGAAATACTATGTAACTACATCCATTAGCAATAGTTATAAACTGGATCTGTGACAAAATGTTGCATTGTGGATTGTTCTTGTTCAGGTTTCTAATCAGCTCCACCCTGTTCAGGACAATCCATTCCATTCTCTCTTCCTCAAGTCCTTAATTCACCTCCAAAAGTCTATCACAAAATGCCCATCAAAGTTGCTCAATCCTCACTGGACTGTTAACTCATTTTCCTAGAATTTGTTTATCTTTTTGTCATTCTTAGAGTTCCATTTAGTTATGCAAGAATCCACTTTAAGATAATGAATTTGCTATTTATAGAAGATTTAATATCATTAACAGAAATATTAAAGACATTGTAAAGGATGAAAGATGACAATCCTTGGGAGATTCCACATCTCCTTACATAAAGAAGGTCAAAATAATAATTTAGCCAAATCTGCTTTAGCATAATGCCTCAGACAAAACTATGTCTGCAATAACTGCAGTAACCTTGGAGATGCTGAAGACAGTATGCTTATAATACTCCTTAAAGCTCAGAAAATGCTGAACCTTTGTATTCTCTCTCATATTAAGAATTTTTCTAGTCTTTTGCATGCTTGTCTAGAAAGCCTATTGGACACAATGGAATCTATTTCTGCGTAAACATTCGTGCCTGTTCCTAACAGCAGTTGTGCCACTTAAAATACTGGCCAGCATGAAGAGGACCATAAATAGCCCATCTCTGAAACCTATCTCATATGAATAGCTTACACTATAAAAGATTTTCTGTGTCTTCTGGAATATAAGGCTGAATATACACTGGCAAAGAAAAGAGTGAAGGAATGTAAGGGTCAGAAATACAGGAGATCATCGAACATTTCAATTAAAGAGCAATGTTTAATTAAACTTCTTCCCCTTAATCAGACTATTAAAAAAACATGGGCTTATTTATTTCACTACAAAAGGAAAATTCAGAATTTCTTTCACTCGATCACCAACAAGCTGAAAAGCCATCACAGTTCTTAAGCAGTTTTTGTGCCTGTTTATATTCTGAAGCATATTTATTTCTGACAGATATTTTGAGAAGTAGATTTTCTTGACCGTACATTCCACAAGTCTGTTTTAAACCTACAGTGCAACATTGTATCATAAAAGAAAACGCTGCAATAAAAATTTTCAGTTAGAAGAAGCACCACAAGAACATTTTGACCAACAGATATTAAGAGAGATATGCACATTTGTGTTTTTTAATTACCACTTCCAGAATTCCACAGGCCGCCTATGGAAATCTGCAAGCTGTAGTCCAAAAACACAAAGCTACACACCTCTAGAACTTGTGTCCTTACAAGATGCAAGAGGAGGGTGAGAACTAAATACAAAAGCAACAGAAGCTCATTTAGTGTTTTTGTTACTTACGGATGCATCTGGAAAGAGCAGGGTCTGGCCCATATCCCAATTTGCAGGTGCACCTATAGCTGCCCATGGTATTCAAACACTCACCATTAGGGCATACCCCTTGGAGCTGACATTCATTAATATCTGAAAGAGAATACAACTAATGTTAGTAAAACAATAGGCTCATATGAGCATTTCCTTATAAAACCTGTAACTTTTCAGTGAATGCCATACAAAGGCAAACTGTCTTTGATATTGAGCAAAGTATATAGTAGCCATAAGAAACAACATCTTCCATGAATTGCTGACTGCCTTCTAAAGCCATCTAAGTTGGTAGCCATCACTATATTCTATGGTATGAAGGTGAGAAACTGAATTCAATGAAAATATGGTGTGGATCTGGAACATATTCCACTGCTTAACTACGTGCTATGTACAATATATTCTGCAACAGCTAAACAAAGCAAAGAGTGAATGTGAGAAACAGAATCCAATGAAAATATGGTGTGGATCTGGAACATCCTTTAACGTACCAAGGGAGTGAGTTACATACTGTATCATATCGTATAACATAAGAGTTTGTCTACTATTTTATTGCAGTTCAATTTCCAATTACTCCCAAGGAAAAATAGTCCTAGATTTTGTATCCTTTTCTCCAAAAAGAATATACAAGATACTACTTGTATCTAATTTCATACAGAAAACTTCTTGGAGAAGGGACCTGTCTGCTTGTCCTTTGCATATTGGCAGTAATGATAATGGAAATCATAATAGTAATATATACACAATATTTAGCAAAAACTAAAATCAAAAGAATGCACATAGATGATGTTCAAAAATCTTATAGTCTGTCAGTATTAATTTTCTTCAGCACTGTATCAGAAAAGATAATGGATTGTGTAAAACCAGACAATAGTACATTGTGAATAATGATGTTATGGTTTGCAGCACAGCATCTTTACCATAATTTCAACTGTTCCTGAAAACATCATATTAGAACTATTACTTCCCAGCTTTTTATGCAGCTGTACATACTCACAACAAACTCTGCTATTAGAATGTACATACATGCGTTTAACAATTTAGTGTAACCATCATACTTTTAAAAATCTGTCTAATCAATATTCTTTTTCTGCTTTGCATTACATTTATAAAGATGAGTTGAACACTTGACCTAAAGCCTGATAGCTAGTTCCAAAGCATGAGCTTGAGGGACGATAGAATGAGATACATCAAAGACTTGGCAAAGCAATTTTCTTGGTTTGGAAAGAAATAGATCTTGAAGTGCTTTCAAGGACAGCAATTTCCCCCAAACTAGGAAGGAATAAAAGACATATCACTGGTGGTATGTTGGGATCATTAAGCAGTGGGTGGTCTGTAATAAAATATATCCACACAGTGGGAAAAATTCCTGAATGTAGCTGGATATTATTCTTTGAAGCCACAACAAATTAGATGATATTCTTTGCTATGTGGGAGCCTAAAAGCACAATAACTTTATCCATATATTCACTAGAATCTGGTTTATTTAACAGGGCATTTTCTTGCCCTATGCCATGCTTTCACCAGATGTATCATCCAGTGATGTTACGTTAAAGCCTCTCAAACTCAACATGGGATGGGGAACCTCAAATATCCAAAAAGCTAAATCCCCAGATGATGATGATGAACTTTCAGGGGGCCCAGGAGCCTCAGACCCCAGATACAGCTGGCTGTTGGGTTGAGTTGGAGGAAGCTAGACTTCCTCCCAGCCTAAACAAATACAATGGGTTAAGGAGACCAGGCCAGTGAGAGACTACAGAGCAAAGTGCTTAGTTGCAAGGAAAGTTTCCTCAGGAAGAGAAGGTGCTTCAAATGTGTGTGTGTGGGGGGAATGCTTCCTTCCAGGGAGACCATCACACCAAATCCAGCAGTTGAGCTGTCAGCTGGCCAAATACATGCAATGCAGCTGAAGGTGGGGCTCAGGCATCCCAGCTAGATGAACCTTAGCTTGGGACTGTTTTCATAGCAGACGGTGTCTCTTCTGGTTTCCGATTGTTTGCCTTACATCTTGACGTTTGCCACTGACTCTTAGCTGTGTATGACTTTTCGAATGTCTGACTGTGCTTTTGGCTATCCCTATTTTATTGTACAACATTTTAACTGACTTGGTGAATACGGTTTTGAACTCTGACTCCAGATCTCCTAGACCTGATTTACCTTACACTCTTTGTCGCCCTTGGCCTAATCCTACTCCAAGAGCAAGACATCCAAATTCAACTGTTTATTCAAGGCGAACATTCTCCTCTCCATAGAGGAATGGGCACAAACGATTCTCTTCAAACATGATCAATCAAATATATCATACAACATTCTGTGGATGTTGTCACTTCACACTGCAAATGCTTCATATGCAATTACTATGAACAAATCTTTTCCCAAGGAAAAAGAAGGGTGATCTGCAAGCATGTGTAGCTATTCTGCTACACAAACCCAATCAGGGGAACAGTATTTCCCCCCCCCGGCCCTGAAGCCAAGCCTAAACTCAAACTGAAATGGGCATGGAGAACAAATCTCAACCAAGAATGTCTCCACCTAGATCACAACAAGTCATTCTATTACATTCCCAAAGATTGTGTCTAGATGGAAGATGTCATGAACTTGAAGATCCCGGAGGAGCTTTTTTTAGAAAGAGTGATACCACCACCTTTTTCAAAGCAGGAAGCATCACTTTAGTAAAGCCAACTTTGCCATGGACCTACCTGATCAACTTTTACCTGATGGGCAAGAATTGAGAGAGTAACTGTAATTGGATGCCATGCTGGAAGAACCTTATCCATATAATTCAGCTGCAAAAACTGGAAATGATCCCACAATAACACTCTAGACAGTACATTAGGTATGTATCTCAAAACAACCCGTCATACAAGCAGTGTGAAACACATTTCAAACATGAGCAACATTATCTTCACAACAGATTTCTGATGGACCCATATCTCAATTTTCTGGAGCAGGTGTAAATTAACAGGCAATTCTGAGGAGTTCTGCTTAATGACTGGAGGATACAGTGGACAAAGCAGAATCTGCCTTTTTTCTTTGCTATTCTTACAATAGGGAAAATTATGTTCTCTAACACATACTCAAGTATCTTCTGTATTTGGTCTCTCTGCCAACCTGAGGAAAATCAATGGTCTGAATTAGCTAGTATATGTTGTTGGCTAGATCTTGTGACTTGCACTGGCTTGAACCTCAGAAGCAAATTGGCACCAGTTAAGATGCTAGTGTGAACAATTGCTGGTGTATTCTAGTCATGCGACTCCGTGTGCAATAGCAAATGCTTGCACCAATTGCTTAACATGCCACAATTTGCCTATGAAAGTTATACCAATGGACTTGCGCAGCATCTGCTTTAACTGGATTCTAGCCTGTGTGCATCAAAAGAGTTGTGCATATCAAATGTGCATATCTAAGTAATCCTTTGCAGTATCACACATGGCTCAAGAGCAAAAACTTCATCTGAAAAATATTCAAGTTGTCCATATGACTACCCACTCTAATAATGAATTAAAATTTTCCCAACAGCACTTTAGAAAATTAATACAGGCCTTGGGGCATGCCACTGTAAAATTTTCTTCAAATATGCTGGTTACCAGAGTCTTTGCAGGTTGATTCTGCTATTTGTATTCCACCAATGGTAGCACAACTTAACTTGTTTTCAGCAAGTGACCATCAGATGTGACTTCTTGGTGAGATGACTAGAAAGCCACTATACTAATATTGTATTTTATTACATAGTTCTATCTTGGGACTTCAAAGGAGTTATTAACAAACTAATAACATGTCTTCTGCAGTGTTGGTGGAGGAGATTTAAATTTAAAATGATTATTGCTTCAGAACTCCGGGCAAAAAGCCCTGCATGTTTCCTATCCAAGGCATATTCATTCACCCTGTATTTTGGGGGCACCTACCTAACACACATCCGGCCACCCACAGTCCTATCCAGCTGTGTAAATTATACTGAAATCAACCTGTTAAGGCAGGTGGAAATGGAATCAAGATGAAGACTGTGTGAAGAGTAGTTCAACAGTTTTTAAAACTTTTTCATCTGCCCATCTTTCTCAAACAAAGCTACGAAATAAATGTACATTTTAAAAGCAGTTCTAAAGATGTGGGATCCATGATTAAAATAGGCAAAATAGAGTTATAATTGATCTATGTGTTAACTGCAGGTTAGGTGGCCGCTGTAATATTATAGTAGTACTAAACTTTAAAATCTTTTGTAATATATATGAGGGGCAAAAGTTTTGCGCTTAAAATTTAAATTCTGTATGAACTATTTTCTCTTTACATTGAGAGGAAGTATCTTGTAGTGTCTGAAACACAGACTTACAATGCTTTGTTGCTCAGGGAGTGAACTCAGCTCAGTTATAACTATCCCTAAGCCTAGTCCTGGGCAAAGTGTGGTCCGAAGGCCACATATGACCCCCAAGCAGCTCCTGTCCGGCCCACCGGTTGTCGCTTCAGTCTGATGTTCAAGCACTTGTTAAAGCCCAAGAGAGACTGGATTTCTCTCACTGGATAAGTTGAACATCAAAACTATTTATAGCTTTTTGTCTAAAGTTGATCAGTTGCTTATCTTCTATTTTTAAGTAAAGTTGGTTCGGCCCCCAAACACAGTTCAGATTTTTCATGTGGCCCCCTATAGCAATTAATTGCCCACCCCTGCCTAAGCCATATCAACCTAAATTACTTGTTACCAGTAATTCAATGAATTATTAATGTTTGAATTGAAGCGATATCAACCTAAATTACTTGTTACCAATAATTCAATGAATTATTAATGTTTGAATTGCTAATGGCAAAAATGGATGATTATTTGTATCACAGTTTATACTAGTGAAATTAGAACTCCAAAGGTGTCAGGCAGGCACCCAGATCTCCTTCTTGTCTTTAGGGTAAGAAGCCAGACAAGCTGAGAAGGTTTTTGGATAATAACAATGAGGTCTTATAATAATGACACAACCAGATCCTATGGACTGTATGGAAGGGACTGCAGGGGTCATTAAGTCAAACCCCAGGCAAAGCAGGAAACCCACAGCTAAAACATCTCTCTTAGATGCCATCCAACCTCTATTCAATAACCTGCAATGAGGGAATCTACCACC